AATAAAACTCATAATAATCTCTTCCCTCTGTTCTTTTCAATTATAAAATAAATTTGCCATTAGCCAAGTTAATCTATACTATATTAAAAGCACGAAGGCCCTTAACGAAATGTCGTTCGCCTTTTTTACCCTTTTAAAATAGAGCTTACATTAGACAAAATAGTCATTATATTATTTTCCTTATATTTAGCACTTTAAAATCAAGTAAAATTTTGTTTATTAAAGTTTTCCTTATTTGAATTACTACACATAAAATCCTAATATTTAGGACATCCAAATAAAAAAAAATTAACTTGTGCAATCAAAAAATTTATTAACTAGACTATTTGACTAGCACCCGGTACCTACATCATCCGAAAATTACCTAGCTTTTTTCTTGTCTTTTTTGCGATTGGAATTAAAGAGTTCAATTAATTTCATCAATCCAATGTAATGAAGGTACATTCTAGCCTTCTGATTTTTGCCGTCTACTTTAAAGATTAATAAGTGCTTTGAGTAGTAAGTATTTCCTCTATTTCAATTTTTGTGCTTTACTATAGTTTTTTTTAAAATTTGTTGAAAAAGTATCTTTTTATGTTCAGTAACTCTTTAGTTTCACCGTTTCACATGACATATTTAAGACTATTAGATTCAAGGATATTTTTATCAGCGGATACAAGATTGTATTTATTGCTAGAACAATAAAATAAAGATTGATTATATCTATCTATATTAATATCTTAATATCTATATCTATATCTATATATCTATATATCTATATACTATATTAAAAGCACGAAGGTCTTTAGCGAAAAATCGTTCGCCTTTTTTGCCCTTTAAGAATAAATTTCACACTAGACAAAAGTGTAATTTATGCTTCTTTCCAAATGTTTTGAACTCCTATGAAATTAGTCCTAACATATAGGACTCACACAAGAATGGAAACAAAATATTTCTGACGAAAAGAAAACTTAGAATCACCAATATTACAATTTGCTTCATCAACCAATAAAATACCATTTTTGTGTCCATAGTTTGGTAGAAAATGTTATTGAACTTATAGACAAATTTTATTCTAATCGAATTATCATCATCTCTTTCCTAAGTATTTTAACAAATGATAATTTTTTATAGCAAGAAACCCTTAGCGAAATATTGTTCGCCTTTTTTACCATTTAAAAATAAATTTTACATTAGACAAATTTATAATTTAGTGATTATCCTAATATATATGACTTTAAAATTAATTAAAATTTTAAATATCAAAATTTTCCTTATTTGAATTGTGTAGGAAGTCTTAATATTAAGGATTTTAAAGTAGATATTATTTGGGGAAATAGGAGTAATTTTACGTTTTCTTTTCCTGGTATATCCGACGGCAATTTCAATAGAAATATGTTTCACGTTCATTCTTCTTATTGGAAACTTATCACTCTAATAAGATGTACTATTAAAAGTAAGAGATGTTGTACTAACTAAATATATATTTTAATTAAATGTAGTTTTAAATATTACACAAATTAATAAAGAGAATATATATTGTTCGAGTTGGAAAAAAGTTCAAAAATAGTTTGTATTTTCTATACTATCATAAAAGAATGAAATTTAAACAAATAATTAAGTCTTTGGATTAATAAATTAGATGGATAAAAATGATTCATTTTTTTTTCAAAATCATTATGTAAGTAAAATTATTTATCAAGTTGATAAAACTCTTAAGGTACTTAAATTTATTTTCACAAGAACTAGAGCATTGGCCATGAAAAAAAAAAATTAGAGCAAAATTTATTTTAATATAGTATTAAAAGTTAAAAGCTAAAAATTCTAAGTTAAATCATTAAGGATGTAACATAAACAAAAGGTATTCAAAAAACGTTGTCTTTATTTTTTTTATATTCATTCCAATAAATGATAGCTTCTATATTTTTTAATATAGTATTATATTATTTTTATAATTCAATATTAGTCATTTAAGACTTTAAATTGTTATTTATCAATATCTTCGAGGTACGTTCTACCTCATCACTCAAAAATTTCTAAAAGATCAAAAGATTCTGATTTTCAATTTATTTTATTATCTTTGAATAATTATGGTAAAAGTATTTTTTATGTTGTTTGTTTATAGTCTTCGATAATAAATATAACAATTAATTTCATAAGATATTTCACTCCTCATAAATCATAATAAAGCATATAAAGACTTGTATGAAGTATGATTTATTTGTTTTATTGGGTTAGCTTAGTGAGATTAACATTAGGATCTTATATTTTTTTAATATTTATCAATAACTCAAAATATAGTATTTAATAATATTTACATATTTATTAATATAGGTACACGCGCAAAGCGCGTACCCTAAGACTAGTATAGTTAAAAGAAAGAGAAAGTTTTCAATAGTTTGTAAGCAATAAAAATATTTTTGCCGTCCCTCTCTTTGACAACCAAAGTTTCACCAAATATGGCAAAAATATAGCAAAGTCATTAAAGAATAGTCAAGTTTCATAACTTTGAAGAAAACACAAAATTAATAATGAAAAAAGGGCAACGTGGCCTTTCAAAAGTTCTTCTCCCTAGTGTTCAAATACTTGGGAAACAATATTCCCTTTAATTGGTGTCTAAAAATGATCACACATGGTAATAGAGTCAGGCATTAAAAGAATTTTGTTGCCGGTATTCTAAATCTCCCGAATCGGCAAACAACTTCGATCGGCCATTTTAAAAATACTTAAAGAAAAGGTTCCGTATTTTAATCTCTTATTATCAAAAATAAATTTCGACACCATTTTTTTTTTTGATTTTTTTCTTCAAAATTGGCTTTCATGTCAAAACAAAATTTGTAATCAGAAATGGATATACAAATAAGAGAGACGATATATATATATTCGACAGTGTATTCAAAATTAACAGAACACATAACCAATGGCTCTGATACCAATGTTATATTAAACCTAGGGACGAGAACAACAAGTTGTGTATCTTGTTTATATATAGTGTTAGAATTGTTGAATTCACTACCAAAAAGTTGCCCCAAGTTGAACATCAATTCACTAGGAAATGAAGTTTATATTCACAAATTAGATGTCTTTCCTCTCTTGTGTGTTTTTGTTTTTAGAGAACGAGAGAAGAATACTTGTCACGGGCCAGCCTTTTTCCGGACGTCAGCGGCACCAAATAGCCCATGCGGCGCCTGTAGTCATCCCTCACTACATGCCAGCCTTTCATCTTTCCTAGGTTTTCTAGCACGATCTTGTGCCTGTGATGGAGCTTGCCTAGGAAGCTTATTCCAACTGTGCCGCCCGTTTGATATCTAGGCTCATGGCCTTGACTAGCCGTGGCACTTCTCATCTGTTGAATCTCATCCATGCGCACACCTGGGGTTGGCTAAGTACATGTTCGTCCTTCGCCTAGCACTGAGCATTGCTCTCGCATGCACAGTCCAATCCTTAAGCTTGACATTCGCCTCGTGCGTCCACACCCAGTTTGTGCTTTGCCCGAGTAGGGCAACCTTTGGTCCTTGGCCTCTATCATGTGCGTCATTCATAGCATGCCCATAATTGTCTTATGGCATTGCCAAACATAGCCCTCGCGACATACTTCCATCCCGCATAGTGCAGTGTCGCCCCACAACTGAACGTCTAGGCCAACAGAATAGGTGCATAGTTGAACCCAAGCCAAGCTCACAAGTCGATACATGAGGCCACTAAAATAGGTGCTTCAAGTATCCAATCGGCACGAAGGTCTGTATCCACTATTTCGGTAGCCCACGTGACATAATCGTCCCACACGTCAAGCCTCCAACACCTCTTCTGTGCCTAACGCTAGCCCTGAGGCGTTGCGCCGTCCATAGAGTTCCCTAACTCGTATGGATACCTTAGACATTCCTTTGAGATGCCCAGGCAGGCCCTTGAGGTTCCCCCTCAAGGTGGCTCACTTGGTGCGTCTTGGTGGCAGCACGCACAAGGGAGGTTGGCTGAGCTTCAACACATCTACCCCCTTATATATGCTTAAAATAAAAAAGCCCATGATCCCCTAGAGACATGTTTTGGCCAGAGAATCATAATGACCCTTTCTCACTCATCCAAACTCTGAATAAGGTGTCGTCTGTTCCTAAAGCTTTCTCTTGACTTCCTTCACACTTCCATGAAGTTTCACCCCATTCCCATACTCGTGTAAATAGTTATAGCCTTCGGACACTTCAGCAAATTACGACAATGCTACTGCCCTTGGCTAAGTCAAGCCTATAGGCAAACAAACTCCAAATGACTCCAAAATCGGTCCGCATATATAATAGCATACTAGGAACATGGCCTACAACCGAAATCCCTAGATTCCCCTCTTAGCTCGAAAACGTATGGCCGTGACACTCAGGCACGTACGCGGCCGTCGCTCGCAGGCTAGACCCTTAGTCTCATCCCAAGTCCTCTCTAAACCCTCTTGGCACTCTTAGGGTATGCAACACAACATATCTAGATGGTTGTTGCCTCATGCATAGCCCCTCTACTCGATGCTCCTTTACAACGCATCGTCACCACACGTCATCTATATGACTGACACTTGTCCTGCTGCACTGTAGCGCACAGTACCATGGATGCCAAGAACCCCCAAAATATGGGGTGTAACAATACTTCTCTGTTGAGGGAGAGAAATTGAGTTTTTTCTTCTTTTCTTGCAAAAATAAAGAATTCTTCCATAATGAAATCTGTTTCACCACTAAATAAAAATAATTGTATTCTTTTGTAACCACTTAACTCCCCTAAATCTTATGCCCTTATCCTTTCTAAATGGGTTGGGTCGTTTCATACGGGGGACCCGCCCGATATCCAACAATCAAAAAAGAATGACACTCTAACACACTTCTATATACTTTAAAGAAAGTTTACCGTCATGCTTAAAGTTATAAGGTTTAAGAATATTATAACCAACAAATGTTTATGTTTAAAACAATAAATTTTATGAATCAAACTATGTGACAAATTAAAGAAAATTGGAAGTAAACAAATTAAAGAAAGATATTACATTATTACACTACTTAACACTGCATTTTGTATATGACTCACACACACACACACACAGAGTACTACTTGGCTTCAAGGGTTTCGACCTGTAAATTCTCTTTCTCCGATCTGCAAATCCAATTCAATTCCTACAATCCATTTCTACTCATACAATCTCATCTCAGATTCAGAAAATCCATAACGATCTAGAAGAAATTCTCAATTCAGAAAATCATCTTTCACATTCTTCAAAAATCAAAATCGATACTTTATATTCAGCCAAAGCTGTGGTGATGTGAGAACTGCTATTTTAAGAGCTCATTTTGGTTCATTTTTAGGGTTTGTTTGAATGATAAAGAAAGTTCTAGAAGATCTAAGGATTTGGATTTGGATTGATTTCATTGCTTAGTTAGAAAGTCACAATGGATGTTGATTTAGTTGTTGATATAGCGAGCCTTGATGCCGAATTATTGCAGCTTCCTGAATTTTCACCTTTGGCTATCAAAGATAATCCTTATGCTCAGAGGCTCTTTGATCAATGGCTTTCGCTCCCCATCACGACTTCTAAGGTAGTTCCACAGTGCCCAAATTTTGATAATGTTTTCTGTATTTTGCTTTATTAAGAACTATATTTTGATATTGCAATGAGTTTAAGTGCGGGGTTAAAAATATGCATGCAATCAGGTCATTTATTAGGTATATACTTGTAAATCTTTTGATAAACATTAGTTGGTAATCAGTCAAAAATGGTTCTTCTTCCATTTCAGTTGATGCGGCATAGTTTGAATTGGTATGGTGTTTAAGAAAGGAAGAAAAACTTTCAAGCTTGTGGTCTTAAACATGGCTTAACATTTGTGTGGCTATAGGATTTTCTAAACTTGTGGTATTAAACATTTCATAACATTTGCATGTGCGATAACATTTGTATGGCTATAAAAGTTTATTATCAAGTGTAGATGGGAAGTTTATGTTAAAGTTTTTCCAAATTTAGAAAGCAGTTCAAGTTAGTGGCTTACTGTATCATAATACGCTGCTATATGATCTATCTTATACGTATCTCAGAAGTGATTCTAACAACTATAATACGTTTGTTTCATGAGAATGTCAATTATTTTTTGTTGAGCGAAGTATCATGTGGAGTATAATGTATTATCAAGTCTCCTAGGGCGAGGAATGATTAGAAGGCGCCATGAAGATATGTAAACCTTTTTGTGTAAAGTGAAGAAGAAAGATTTCAATAGTCTGTTGCAATTTTGAGCACTTTCTCTGAGTTCTTTTATCCACTTTTTCTTTATTGACAAAATGTACATGTCTGGGCTCCGGCTCTCTTGGATCAATTGTGTTGCCTTTTTTTTTTTGAGCCGGCTCTTGCTCTTTACCAACAAGATTCTATCATTGCTCACTCTCAAAAAAGAGTAAACAATGCTCGGAACTTGATAGTATGCACATAGGACTGCAACAACTTGTTGCATTCGATGAAAATTAATTCTGTGTGTTCATGGAACTACTGCCACTAAGAAGCTTTCCTAGGATGATGGAGATGTGCTGGTGCTTTTGTGTAATGGAGACTCTTCGTGAAATTTTTATACCACTGGTGATGAATGATAGTGATATTGTGCTTGAGGATGTTCAGCTGGAATCCAATATATTTTTAAAATGTTACTCTGCCAAGATATTGTTCTGAGCCAGTATTACACGAGTCTGAGGTTTTACGAATGGAACATCGGACCTGATAATTATTGAGCTTACATGTTGATTTTTTATAGTTCTGGGAACATATGATGTTTCGTTTTGGAAGAGCTCTCTGCCCTGCATTATTGCAAACAGAAGCGATGAATATGCATTTTTTCTGTTTCTGATAAACATTGTTGTTGATCTCAGTTGATTGGCAAATGGAAAGTAATCTATTTTCACTGTACATGCAGGTGAAATCTTTGCTTGATAATGCTAAGGGTGGTAGTCCCTTGAATGTGACTGGAACTTCTTCTAGCACAAATGTTGCTGCAAGCAGTTCTTTGCCGTCTATGTTTCCCGCTGGAAGTACCCCTCCACTTTCCCCGAGAAGCTCATCTGGTTCACCGCGAACAACAAGACATAGGGCAGGCCCCTCTATATTAGGT